GGGGTGCGCGTACGCGGCAAAGTCATGCACGTGGTAGGACCGCAACGTGCCCGGCGGCGGTTTGCTCGCGACAAACTCGGTCCAGTTGAGCGCTATACATATATAGATGAGAGATGGCAGTTAGTCGCTGGTCGGGTTCCAATATTTCACGATGATCGGCCATCAAAGGAAGGGTCCTACGAACTGGCCAAGTAATCGACGGTGGGCACTTCGGCCTCCAGCTCGCGTGCCGTGAACCCGACTGCCGGCGCCCGGCGCGACAACCCACGCTTCTTCCCGCTGGGCCCGGTCCGGTGCGGTACCGATGCAGCGGACGCAGCTTCGGCCGTTGCGGTGACCGGTGTGGTGGGCCCCGTTTCACTGGTCTGCTGCAGCTGCTGCAAAGACCCAGTCGCATCGCCCAACTCTGCGGCCGCGGCCGTAACGCTAGAAGCAGTCGACCCAGACCCAGACCCACCCTCTGTCGCATCAGCAGCACCGGCATCAGTAGGGCCATTCGTCGTCGAGGACGATTCGCCGTCCGCTGCGCCGGTCGTACTCGTACTCGCCGCGAGCTGGGCGAGCGCGCGCGCCGCGCGCCCCTGGCGCGTCACGCGCGTCGTGCTCGGCGCCGGTTCCGGCGCCGGGGTCGTCGATGACGTGGTGGAGGACGTTACGAGCGAGGACGGATTCGCGGCCGAGGTACTCGAGGCGGCCAGGCGCGGGCGCTTTGTCGCAGCGATCGTCTCGGAGATGGACGCGGCAGCGGCGGCCGCGGCCATGCGTGCGCTCGACCGTTTCCGCGTGCTCATATTTTATAGTGCGCGGTTCGATTGGGGACGGAATCGCGGCCGTTTGGCGCTGATGTCGGTCTTGATCGTCGTCGCGGTCCCGTGCACACGTTCCACCGCTGAACTGGGCGGGACTGGGCTTTGGGCGGCGACGGGGCGGGCTCAGAGAACGACCGGCGCGTAAGGAAGGGTGGACGGGGAGTCGGGGCGCGAGGAATGAAATTCCAAGCGGTTGCAAGTGGTTGGAAGAAGGAGAGCCCGGCGCGTGCGAGAGAGCCAAGAGAGAGAAGCGACTCAGGGGCTCTCTTGTCGATGTGAACGCCGCCCACCAGCAGCAGCGGCAAACGACTCGCTTCATCGTCCCCAACCTGTCATCCTCCGTCTCTATCGTTCCCCGCGGCGATCGCGCTCGTCAGCAACGGTTCCGCACGGTTCCCCTTGTCCACCCGCCGCGCTCGCGGCGTGGAGGCTTCTCCTCACGTTCACTGCGATCCGGGCTCCCTGGCGCCGTCGCCGGCTCCCGCGCAGACGGCATGGTCCCCCCTCCGTCACGCCGTCTGATGTGTACCGCTCGATGCCAATGGCTCAGCAGCGCTCTATGCATGGCGGGCGCGCCTCTCTTGGCAATCGTCTTTCTGGAGTTTCTCAAAGAGGACGTCTCTCCACAAGACCATCCTCGCACAATCATGGAACTGAACGGACCAATCCACCAAACGCGACTTTCTTACCACGCAACCAAGAAATACTATAAGCAACTCGCGTCCGATCTCGATGCCGACGCGGGCAACACCAATATCAAGACTAACAGCCGGATAACTCACACATGGAACAGCGGCTCGACCTCACGAACCACCTCCAACGGCACCGCCGCAAACACACGCGGCACGACCGTCACCTCGGTCCCCTCACCCTCAATCTGCGGCGTACACTCGAGCGCAGCGAGCAATTCGACAATCGCCGGCGGCGCCGCATACAGGAGCCCAGCCACCGCATAAAACAGGCACTCCCCGACCGTCCTCCCGGTCGGTGTCACCCCCGCACCCAAAACCGTCCTCGCCCACTCTTCGGGCGCCGTGGTCGCCACGTGCGCGAGCGCTCCGACTAATTCGACCGCCCACTCTTCGTCGGACCCGTCCGCGTCCCAAATCACGGTCGTGCCGCGCTGGGCCTCGCGGAACCGCAACCGCGCGATATTGAACGCGACGGCGAGCGCGAGGTGAACCGTGTCGGGTTCGGATTCGTGCAGGAGACCGCCCACGACCATGGCCGTGAGTGCCGTGCGGCATGCGGACCGCGTGCGCAGCCACGCGTCGCCGCTGGAGGCGTGGCTCGTCACGTTGATGAGCACGCGTAAGGCGCTGGGGAGGAAGGCGACGTGCGTGTGCATGGATTGCGCGATGTGGTGCTTTAGACTCGCGAGTAGTTCTATCATCGAGGACGCGCCGAATGAGACATGGGACGAGAGGAAGGGCGGGTTCATCTCTCAAGTTTCAAGACACGTACCCAACCTCACTTTCGGCGCGTACGACTCGTGCACGACAAAATCGTTCAGCGCGTCGAGTGCAGTGCTGACGGCCTCGATATCCTCGCTCTAGATTCGCGTCCACGCCCCCGTCAGTCTCAAGCCAGCTCACCCGCAAATAAACGCGTGACATACCTTGAGAATCCGCTTCAAACGCGTAAATTCGCGCTCGTCCGACTCTGCACTCTGTTCTCCACTAATCCATTGCAACGGCGTCTCGAATTCGCGGGTGATCGTCGGCATCGCGGGCGCCGCGACCTCTCTCGTTGGCTCGACACGCGTCGGAGGCACACTCGCCGCGGCGGCCGGTGGAGCGGGCGTGACGCCCGATACGGCCATAGGCATCGGAAACTGGTTGACCGGCTGGTGCGGCGACGAAAAGAAGGCGTCGATCATGGGCCGCATCGCCTGACCAAACGGGCTGGTCAAAAAACGCGTCGGCCTGTCAGCAACTACCGCTTTCCCTTATACTCCGAAGAAGGAGGATTCCCGGACGTACGTGTCCAGGAAATCGCGCGGCAAACCCAAAATATGGTCCGGGATCCCGCGGCCGACGAGGAACTGGCATATCTGGTTGGTGAACGTGTTGCAGTTATGGTCGAGCAGGTGGTACTTGTCGGCCGTGTACTGCTCGCGGATCTCGCGCAGGTACTCGTCAAACAGGTCGCGCGGGATCTCGGTTGTGCCCATGTCGATGGTTTGCACGGGGCGGCCGTAGTGGTGCACGCCCTTACATGCGGGTAGCGACAGAGCGCGTCAGATTCGTGATCCACGACGCGCCGAGCAGGAGCCGCTGGACGCGAGGGAGCAGCGTACCGGCGTCGTGCAGTAGATGCCCTGGCCGAAATACCATTCGCGGTCGTAGACGAGGACCGACGTGTGCCTGAAGTGCACACAGATCATGGTCACCCACTGAGCATTTGCCGACGCAAACCACGCTTGGCGGAATCGCAAACCGTCCAAAAATGTACCAGATTGCGTCGATTTGGCGGCCAGTCAGACCCATGGAAATCATTCGCGCCATGCCCTGCGACAGGTCGTAGACAAGCAGGCGAACGGGGTGCATCGTGGTGCTAGCGGATTGTGTGAGCCTGAAGTACGTGAGGGGTTGCGTGCTGCACAAAGGTGTCGTCGCGCTCGCTTGCTTCACGACGAGGAAGGGATTGCGGCGAGTTGGTGTGTGTGGTTGGTTGAACGATGAAGGGAAGTCGCGCGCCGTTATTGACACAACTTTCACTCGCCAAGTCGTCGAACCCCGTGGAACCGCTGCCAAGCGACGAGCGAGCCTCCAGTGGATCGAAACAACCGTCGAACCGAGTCGGGGCTCACATCGAACCCATCGAACCCGATCCTCGAACCGTGTCGAACCTCAAGCAGCGACGGGCCATGGTGCACCTGCGCTGTAATGCTGCAATCCCACGGCCAAGCAAAAGTGACCACGTCAACGCGGAACGCTTTGCTGACCAACAGTGCTGACCTGCAAACGCGCCAAGCGTTGATACCCGACTGATCCGCGTCCCGGGTCGTCGTGTGCATTTCACTCAATGTCGGAATCCGACACGACAACCACGTCCTCAGCCGCGGCCGGCGCGTCCTCACGCGCCGCACCCGTACGTGCACGCTTGGCCGGTCGGGCTCCTCCTCCCCTCGCCGCCTTGGGCGCTGCACGCCGCCCACGCGTCCCACTCGCCCCAGCCGGCGTCTCCGTCGCGTTCAAACTCCTCGCGCACGAGCGGTGGGTCGCCGTACAGCATTGCCGTGAGTGTCCGGTCCGCGCGCGTCGCGTCGAGCACCGCAGGCTGTGAACGCACGGCCGTGGGCAGCGCGAGGACGGGTTTCCCACGCGCGTGCTTGACGGGCGCCGGGGGTGGAGCCGCGGCCATGTGCAGCTACCGCCGCGTGGTGCTGGTCGCGTCGACGGCAAGAACTTGTGCGTGCACAGGTCGCAGATCCCGCACGCATCGGTCTCGTCGGCGTTTGACGGCAGGTCGTCGTCGGCAGTGGTGTCGGCGCTGTTGCTCACGCCGCCGCCGCTCGGGCATGCGCCGTTTCAAAGTATTGGACGCCAGGATTCGACCGACGGTCGGCCAGAGCGCCTCGGCGGTCGCGTGCAGCGTCGTGGCCCACGAGAAGTCGTCGTGGTCGTACGCGTCAGCCGACGGCAGGGTCGGCTCGACCATTTCAATATCGCCGTCTCATCTTCATGGTCGCCAAATTCGCCAAATAAGTCGTGGTCGTCGGCAGCACCACCGTCACCTCCACCAACGTCCGGCCAGACAGGTGTCGGCAAAGCACGGGTCATTGCCTCAATCGCGGCCAAAAACGAGGCAACATCATCACTTCCCACGTCGTGAACGTTAGATCGGGGGTCGACATAATGAAGCCGATCCAGTTGGACCTCGACGTCGTGAAGCACTCGCTTCAGGAGGGACTTTGCGGCCACTAACCGGGCGCGGCGGTCTTGCTCCATGTTGCTGTCGTCGTGTCGCGGACGTCAACGCGGATTGTGGCGGGAGCAAAAGGAGACATGATGGATTTGAAGTGACTTCGCACGCAACCGCTGGCTGGTGCCCACGACTCGATCTTCATCTGTCGTCGTCTCAGGCGCAACAGGCGAGCGTCAAAAGGGTAATCAGCAATGGATTGTTGCTCATGTCGGTTTCGAGCACAAAAAGAACAATTGCGACAGCGTCAACAGATCGCGTTGTCGAGCGAGGTGGGATTCGAACCCACGATCTTGTCCTCCGGAGGGACACACCTTAGCCGCTAGGCCACACGCCCTTACATTGTTAAAAAATCCAATTGGTTGGAGGCAGTTGGAGGTGGCTAGGCAAGTGGATCTCCGTGTTGCCCCGACCCACCTGCTTGCATCTGACCAGTTGCCATTTCCCACTCCCAGACAGCCTGATCGCCGAGCCACGCACGTGCACAAAGCTAAACGACCAGCTGAGCCGGGAGACCCTGTCACCCACCGCCAACCGCGTGTCGTTGGCCCGTCCACCAGCATGCCCTCCGCGTCGCACGGGACGCACGACGACGCAGATAATGCGCAGGGACGGCGTCGAGTCAAGGGACTGCGCGTGCTGGTCGCAGCGCGCGGTGGTGCTCGAGGACGTGCTGCCAAAGGACGACGACGCGCGCGTCACTGTTGCAGATGGCGAGACGAGAGTGAGCATTGCTCATTCATCCACCCCCCGCACGGCCGGGCGGGCGGCGGTCAACCTTGAATAGGCACGCCTCCAAGCACGCGCCACGGCCGACGCCCGGACGACGTGGGTGTGGAGGTCAAAGTCAAGTCAAGATCGCGTCCCTGTCGGTGTTGCGAATCAGGTCCGCCTGAAGTGTGCAAGTCGTCGTCGCGTGCTGGTGAGAAGAGTTCACCGGCGGCCGACGACGCCGACCTGGACGGCGCTTTCACAGCTTGCTCTCTCCATATCCATCCTCGGCCAACCACTCCCAAATTCTTTTGATACCACCAGCAGCAACTTGAACACGAGTCCCAGCCGCTGCGAACCCCCCGTCACGACGACGGGACCATGATCAAGTGCCTGCACCAGCGCAAAGCCAGCCCCTCGACGTTGCAATCGGCTCCCTTCGTTCGCTCGACCCCTTCGACCCGCGCAGCTGCACGCACGACCGCCCTGCAGCAAGCCTGAGCAGAAGCAGCAGCACCAGCGCGCGCCCCCGCCCTTGTCGACGTGGCAGAATTTGCTCCAGGTGTGTGTTGGAGCGAAAACGAATTCGGTCGCGGAGGCCGCGACGCGCGGCACCCGCGGACACGCTGCGATTGCCGTGACCGACCGCGGTGATGCCGCAGGGGACCAGCAACGGCAGCGGCTGTGCTGCGCGTCCGCCCGATGGCCCACGGGTGCCAGCGCAGGCCGCGCGTGTAGCGTTCTCTGCCACGGCCGAACGCCGACTAATTTGTCTGTGTTGTTATGTATTTGTAGGCTCGAGTCGACTCGGCGCGGTGATCACGGAAAGTCGACGACGACTGCACGACGACGCGCACTTCAAAAATGGCCGACAGCCACCCGCCGCCGCACTACGACCCGCACCATCTCGGCGCCCCGCCGATGCACTATTCGAGCTCGCGCCGCCCGTCCGGCGCAAGTCTCCCCGCGATGCCGCCGACGCCCGCGACCCCGTCATCCTACGCGTCCTGGACGTCGAGCCCGTCCGACGCCATGCACCACCACCTGCCGCATCTTCCCTCTTCTTCCGCTACTGTGCAGCCATGGACCAGCAATGCGCCGTCCGGCACCGTGCCGCGCGACGTGAACGACAGTCTGCAATCTCCGCCGCAAATGCCACAGACGCCACGCCCGAGTCTACGCACGCGGTGCATGCCCGTGATCCGGTGCCCGCGGCCGTTCCGAATCGCTCGATTGTGTCGTGCGCCGCCGGCGTCGCCGAGGTCTCCGGCGTACCGATCGGTGCCGCGACCCGAGGGTGGGCTGGTTGTGGTGTCCAGTGCCGCGAGCTCAGGCATGCGGAAACCGTCGTCTGGGCTCGCGACGGCGCCGGTCGTTTATGGCGCGGCGTACGGTGCCGGTAACACGCATGCGCCGCCTGCGCTTGGCGCCGAGTGCGGTCGCAATGATGGGGATGGCGGCGCGGCCACGTCCGACGACCACGACGACGACGATGACGACGACGCTCTGTCCGATACCGAAGCGCTGCTGCACCCGTCCGGCCGACGTCGCGCCGCATTCGGTGGCGAGTCGCCCACCCCCGCCGCCCCCTCCGCGAACCCTGCGGCGACCCGCGCGGCCATGGCGCTGCACCGACGCTCGCGGTCCTGGACGAGCAACCACGAGTCTCTCACGGCCGTCGACCGCAACGGCACGGCCGGTGCGAGTTCTGAACAACTCCTCAGCGACCACTGGCTGCAGGACCACCGACTCAACGCCCTCGCGGGTGCGACACCGCCGCCGCCTTCGAGTCTCCTCTCGCATGCGACGCCGTCGGACCTTGACTTGCCGTCGTCCATGGCGGGGACCACGGGCGCGGCCGACGCGTCGGTCGCTTCGGTCGCGTCCATGTCCCTGCTCGACCGCCAACAAGCCGCCGCCCCCTCCCCGAGGCAACGCGCCGGGTCGCACCGGTCGCTAGCTCCCTCGACAGCTCCCTCGCGCGGTCCCGCCGTCTCCTCTGCCGGCGGCGCGGTCCAGACCTTCGACGCGGCGACCGCACCTCCACGGAAAGCCTCGCTCGCGTCGGCCGCGTCCGTCGGCGCGCTCTTTCCGACCCCGCACGCGCCACAGATTCGGCCACGCAGTCCGTCGTCGGCACGGTACACGTCCGACACGGAACCGGGCGCGCTCGAGCTGGCAATTGCCGCCGAGGACGAGGATGACGATGATGAGGACGTGAATCGGTACAGTGTCCCAACCGGTTCGCTCATGACGGTCACAGACGTGGAACCGCTCGGTTTTGGGCCCACCGCGGCGCACGAGTCGCCCGTGCACCCGTGGGCGCACCGGGTCTCGGACCCGCGGCCGTCCCCCGTGCGCGGCAGTGGAGTTGCGTCCGGGTCCTGGACATCCTTACCGGCAACGACGATCGTGGACCCGCCAGTCGTCGCGTCGGCGTCGTCCATGTCATTGCCGGACACGGTGCAAGCGGCGGCAGCTGTTGCTGATACGCCTGGATCGGGACGTGCGGGCCCGCCCGTCGCCGCCCCGCGCCGCGCTCTGCGACACGCCCCGTCGGCCGCCGGGTCCGCGCGCACCGTCGCGCCGAGTTTGCCGCACGTGTCCCCCGCCGACGTCCCGCGGATCATCGTGCACGTCGAACCGAACCTGGAACTTGGTGCGCTCGGCGCCGTTCTCGCGGGTAAATACAAGCCCAAGTGGAAGGTCATCCAGGCATTCGCGCAGGCCCTGTTCGAGGGGCTTGGGTGCTCGTGGACGGCCATCATGCGCGTGCAGCCGCTCCTGCGGGCCACGGGCATGTCGCCACAGCACTTGATGGTCATGGCGCTGTACATTCGCCGGTACTTGCACGCCCGGGCCGCGGGGACCGCGCCACCCCCCGCGAATCCGCCAAAGTCGCGCGTCGTGCATGTGCAGGGTGAAGACCCGCCGCTCGCCATGTTGCGGAAAGGGTCGGCCACGTCGTCTGTGTCGCGCACGTCGTCGCGGACCCGCCGGATGCTCGAGCGGTTCTCGCTCGGTGGTGGCGGGTCCATGCGCGGGTCGGCGCCCACGTCGCCGGCGATTTCGACGAATGCGCGGTCACTGACGATCGGGTCGCCCGCGGCGTCGGTGGCGGCCGACGAGTCGATGGGGTTGTGGGACGTGGTCGTGCGCGACGAACGGATTCGGGCCGGTGGGATCTGGGATGAAGGGGATGACCAGGAGGACGGGCCGGATCCGGCATTGGATCAGGCGACGGGCGTGATTTCCGTGACCCGCGACGAACTCCTCGCCCGCGGCCAGGCGCGGTTGTTGTGTGTCGCGGCCCTCCTCTCGTGCAAGATCATGTCCGACAACTGTTTCACGGCGCAAGCGATTGCCGGGATCGCGCCGCGCGAGTCCGTGCGCGGGACCGCCGACCTCGTCGGGTACGAAGTGCATGTAGTCACGGGCGTCCAGTTTGATCTCGCCGTGCGCCGCGACGAGTTGGCCCAGCTCACACGCGATTTCCGCGATACGTTGTCGGAACAAATGGTGCATCGGCGGCGACCGTCGTCGCTGATGGGCGGTGCGGCCATGTCCCCACGGACCGAGGCGGCGTTGGTGGACGATGGCAGTATCATGTCGGCATTTGGCGTGTGCGATGCGCTGCTCGACTTGCTTGTCAAGACGGCCGCGGTCGCGGGGGAGCCGGGCGAGGATATCAGTAATGCCGCGTTCATCGTGCAGCCGCCGCCGCCCGCGCCCGTAGCGGCCGTACCCGCGGTCAACGGGTACCCGACGAGCGTGCCGCGGTCGGTCACCGCACCAGCAGCGACCGACCCGGCCCCGGCGCTGCACCCGCTCCGCAGCCACCCGACCGAATCGAGTTTCGCGATCGCGCCGCCGTCCGGGTCCGCCGCTGCTGCACACCACCACGCCGTACCCCCGGCGTCAGGCGTGTCCAGCACCGCGGCCGCGACCACCGCCGCGACGACGGGAAGTACCCCGCGATACCCGGGCAAGGACGCGTCGCTGCTCGCCGACATGCTCCGCGCACAGCTCTCCACGACGCCCGCACCGGCCGACCACCATCCGCACCCGCACCCGCACCAGCACCAGCACCACGCGTTTTCGACTGCCGCGACCGCGGGGAACACGCCCGTCGTCGGATCGGCACCGACGCTGCAAGTGCACACGCCGCCACTCGCGCACGCACCCTCGTCGCGACCCAGTACGCCGTCCCACGCGGTCCGTCTCGCAACGGCAGCCTCGACGTCAACGCAGCTCGTGACCCCCGTCACCCAGCCGCGCGGAGCCCGCACGGACTTGACGATCCCATCGCTCACGCAAGTGCGCGCCGGGTCCGCCGCGTCCGGGAGCAGTCTCGGCGGGGGCAATTCCACACTCGACCGCCCCGGATCCTCGTCCATGAGCTTGCTCGCAGCAGCAGCGGCCGCTACCGCCGCCGCGACCACCGTGCACCGGCACGATCCCGCCGTCCTCGACTCGGTTGCCGCTGCTGCCGCGGCGGCGACGGGACCCGCGCATTCGGCGCTCGCGTCGATCTTGTCGTTGGCCGACGCGGTCGAGGCGTCGCCGTTGATGCGCGCGCCGGTGGCGGTCGTGCCGTCGAATGTGGGAGGCCGGTCCGCAGCGAGT